AACGAATAACTATGCGCATTGTATTACTTTGTGCAAAAAAATATTGTAGTTATTTATGTAATACTAATAATATACAGGACGTCCCAATATTCCGTGGACATAGAACTCCTTCGTATTTTTAAAATGTGCTTCGTTTGTCTGTTAGAGGGCATCAAACTTTAAAAAAATAAACACATTTTTTCAGAGATTTTTAAGTACAGTTATTCCGAAGTAAATGAGATTTTGGGTGTCTATAACGGCCTACACACGTAACGATTTATCGTACTGCGCGTTGAACTGCAGATCGTAAAGAAAATCGTACGGCTTGCAGTACAGCCATTTTTTGTACACACGATGCGACACATTGTACTGCCGCAGTTCAGATTATTCACTTTTCGTTGAGAAGGGCTACCGTTATGTCAAGAATTTCAAAGAAGAAAGCTGCCGTACTTGTAGCTGCGGTATTGCTGACAGATGAAGATGAACAAAAAGAAATCAAAAAGCGAAATGGTGTAAAAAGTGGTTGCTGGAGAGAAAGAAATTTTTTTTCATTTTATTTGCATAATCTTTTGATTTCACGTCCCATAGGCATCTATTTTCTCTATATAAATCAATAAAGTGACTATTCTAGAGTTCTTTACCTGTCGGTATAAAAGCCGGCGGCTGTGGCCTACAGGGGGCAGTATAAATATACAAGTGCAGTTGACGCGCTAAAATTCAAAATAAATTCTTAGTTATAAATCGTTTGTAAATAGTTCTATAAGTCTTTTATCGTTATTGTTTTTGTTAATTAGTGTTAAGTAAATAGTGTTTAAATAAATTGTGACTTTCTATCCACACGGAACCGACGAAAAACGTAACAATTGGTGTCAAGTGTGGCGTGTGTGATAGACTAAAAAAATAATAAATAAGACTGAAAATGGCTTCGAAAAAATTGTTGAAGGACTTGAAAGTGTCGGAATTAAAATGCATACTGGAAGAGAGAGAATGTGAGACAGATGGGAAAAAAAGCATTTTACAAGCAAGACTAAGAGATGTTCTGATCGAGGAAGGTGAGGATCCTGACACATTTTGTTTTGAGTTAGTAGGTGATCTTGACTCGTCATTGAAGAATTTGCAAGAAAATTTAAACGACAATTTGAACAGTAAGATAATTAAATTAGAAGAAAGTTTGAATACTAAAATCAATACATTAGAAGATAAGATCATCGAAAATTCTAAAGATATACAGGCCAGCTTTAATAATAAAATACAGGAATTAGAAGAAAAGATAATAGATACACAAGACAAAATAACTGAGATTGAGGAAGATGTAAATAGAAAAATTCCCAGAACGTCTTATTTTTTACATCCATAATCTTGATTAAACCAAAAATAAATAAAAATTATATCGTAACTGCGCGCTGCGGCAGGGAATACACTACACGCGTTCAAACCCCACCCCAGACACGACCCGTTGATACGATATTTTAGGGAAGCTCCGTACTGCAAACGATTTGACGACTGCATACTGCAAACCATCCAATTTCCCTACACACGCTACGATTTATCGTTAATGCGTCAGTTTCGATGGATATCGTAATGCATGCAGTACGATAAATCATTACGTGTGTAGGCCGTTTATGATTTGCTAAGTTCTTTAACATTTGACTTTCACAAAAATCAAGAAAAAGGGAAGGGTGAAAGATACAAGAATCAACGGGAAGGGTGAAAGATACCCCAATCCCTATGTGAATTTTAGTATAAATATTTTTCACCGACGACGCGACGACCGATTTTTTTTTAAATAATCGTTCTAGTGTTCTAAATTTTTGTCTCTTGCATAAAAATGCAATCGGGCATACTTTTTGAGAAAAAAAAATCGAAGCTGACTTACAAAAAAAGTTTTTTGTCACACCAAGTTATGGAGGCGCATAAATTTTCTTAAACTCTAATAATCTAGTTGGCGAATATTTGGAATTTTATGTTGTATCACAAATTATACAGGGTGTTTCAAAAAACATGTGCTATCTCTCGTGGGGAGGTTCCTCACGTAAAAATAAGATTATTTTTTCATATCAACATAGATCCGATTCTGCTTTGTTTCGTAGGTCCAGGGTGTTAAAATCTTAATAATCTTTCGATTTATTATAATTTTCTTCCAAGTACTTTTAGTGATTCGAATGAAATTTTGAGGGTAAAAGTTACTATAAGTGCTACCTATTTTAATGCTAAAAAAGTGTCGATAAATTATTCAGGGACGTGCATATGGGTTATCACTGGAATATTTTTCAAAAAAAAACATGTGCGCCACTTTTATTTTTGACCTACGACTTTTATTTTGATACCAAAATTGTGTAGGCCGTCTAATACCAATTAAAAGTTATCTCTTGATATTTTGTAGAATTCGGCCTCCTTGATGAGATAAACGCAATCTTATTAATCACAATTAATAAAAATTACAGTTGAGAGGTCGAAAGTAAGAGTGGGATAAAATTTTGTTCAAAGCAAAAGTGGGCTTAAATTTTCTCTAAGATCAAAAATAGCATATACATCACAACTTTGGGCAAAAGTGAATCGAATATTAATCAGCGCAAAAATGATTCGACAAAATATTCAGGGCAAAAAAGCTATAAAATATTAACCCGTTTTTGCGCTAAGAAAATAATACGTAGATTCGATAGACGATAAGAAAATGGTTCTTTTTACCTCTGCGCGCTGCCGTATTTATGTACTATCGAAGGGACGTTTTTATAATACTATTGAGTATTGAGTGCTGTTTCATTACCAACTCTGGTAGCGCTTTGGAGGAAATCGTCGTTGGTGTTGAAACTGCTATTCAGCACTTGCCCGAGGCTTCTAAAGTATTTGCAAGAGAGGCTTGTAGAAATCAGTTATCAAAAAATATTGTTTCAAGTAATTCATTAAAATCTAACAAAGAGCACAATATTGTCAAGAGTTTGCGTAACAAAGATTGTTTCTATCTAAAAGCTGATAAGGGAAATAAGGTTGTTATATTAGATAAAAAAGACTATTATGATAAGGTTAACAACTTAATCGATAATGGCCCCTACATAAATTTGAAAAAGAATCCCTTGTCTAAGATGGTAGCAGACGTTAAAAAAACTCTAAAAGAATGTAACACCCTTATTGATCTTTCTTTAAAGAGGAAATTGCAAGTATCCAATCCCTCATTACCAAAATTGTATGCTTTGCCAAAAATTCATAAGCCGGACAAGTCTATGCGCCCAATTGTTTCGGCTGTAGGTTCTCCGACTTATAATTTGGCAAAATGGTTATCAAGGGAGTTCGAAAATTTACCTGATCATGAACCTTCTTTCTCAGTTAAAAATAATATTGAATTCATTAACAAAATTAAAGATATAACATTGCATGAAGGTGAAATTTTGGTCTCCTTTGATGTATCTTCGTTGTTCCCAAGTGCTCCAATTCCACATACTTTAGGCTATTTGAAGGAATTACTGAACGCAAATGGTCTCGACAACAAAACTGTGATTGAATATATTGAGCTTACATCGTTATGTATGAAACAAAACTGTTTTCAATTTAATAACAACTTTTTTGAACAGCGGGAAGGTACAGCAATGGGTAATCCATTGTCTCCATTTTTGGCTAATTTATTCATGAGCAGGTTTGAAGTGGAAGCTAAGAATCAGTTTAAGTATTTTCCAAGAGTATGGGTTAGGTATGTGGATGATATTTTTGTTGTTTTTGACACACATTGAGACACCATAGATAATTTTATTTCTAAGTTAAATAATCGTTTTCCTTCCATTAAATTTACGCATGAAATTGAGAACAACGACAGATTACCATTTCTAGATGTATTAGTTATTAGAAATACTAATAATTGCGTGGAATTTGATATCTATAGGAAAAATACCACACGCTGATATATTCCTAATGAATCACATCATAGTGTTGAACATAAAATGGCTAGTTTAAATTTCTTAGTTCATAGATTACTTAGTTTCCCACTTTCCAACGAAAGAAATGAAATAGAAAGAGATTACATTAGGAATGTAGCTGAGTGTAATGGATATTCTCCTTCACTAGTTGATAAATTAATTAGAAAACGTAGGTATAGGTTAATGATTTCTGAAAATTCGACTTTTCAAGTGGAGAAAGATACGTCTAAATATTTTTCGATACCGTTTCATAGAGAGTTATCCCGTGGTCTAAAAGGAATTTTTAAGAATGTCAATTATAAACTTGTGTATAGTGCTAATAATAAATTACAACAATTATTAGGTAATCCAAAAGATAAAACACCTCCACTGAAAGGTCGGGTATTTATGAAATTTCTTGTAAAGATTGTAATCAGAAATATGTTGGGCAAACTAGAAGATCAATATTAACTAGATTTAAAGAACATTTAGCTAAGATAAGATATGGTAGACCAGATAAATCTTGCGTTGCCGAACATATTGTTGATAATGAACATTGTATAGATCTTAATAATTTAAAATTAATTAAACAAGTCTCAAATTACGCAGAGAATCTCAAATTACGCATTAGATGCATATGAAAGCATCAGAATTAATAAATGTAAAGATAGTATGAACAGAGTCAACGGTCCAATTCCTTCAAGTTCTTTGTTCCTACTACTCTAGTGGCGGAAATGTAACTGTTACGCTTAGTGGGCTCTGACTCGGTTGGCTAGATTTTGCCACGCCCACTCGGTGCGCACTGAGCGAGTATATAAACGCTCAACTTTAGATTGTACTTTAGTTTATAATCATCTGCTGATGATGCTAACATGGTTAGCGAAACGCGCGTCCAGTGTAAAAGTAAAAGTGTTTTGGTGTATTGTGGTGATTTAGTGTTTTTATTTTACAATTAATAAAATTAAAATAAAAATAATAAATTATACATTTTACCTAATTTATAATATTATTTAATAATAAAAAGAACAATTTTGATCACCGTGTACATTTTAACACATATTTAAAAACAATGTTTATTTATATATATGAAACGTTACTGCTGTTTTAATAACTAATGTATTATAAATTTAACAGGCTCGTGATCATAGAGTACATCACAAATATACAGACACTGATGCTGATCCACATAATGTAAATAGAGGATTTTTCTTTTCCCATGTTGGATGGTTGTTATGCAAAAAGCATAAGGATGTTATTGAAAAAGGCAAAACAATCGATATGTCCGACGTGCTAGCAGACCCTGTGGTCCAATTCCAAAGAAGGTGAGTACCTATTTAAATTTTGCCAGCTAATGGCAATAGTAAAGAAAGGCTTAATAGATGATGTATACTGGTAATATTTTTTATGCTTATTTCTTATACAGGCTCCGCTAATGGTGCGTCGAGCATCTGTAGCTCCTATAATAAAAAACTTGAGAATTTTGTTTAAGTCATAGGTTTAAGTGCAAACCTAAAGTATGTACTAGGATGGATTTCAGGAAAATATTTTAACTTCTATAGGGTGGCTCAAAAATGCGTAAGTGGATCGATATGATTGTTTATAAATGGGACAAATCGTATGTTATTGCGTTTTTGCTTCCATTCAGATCACTTTGCATAATCCTAAAATATGAGTAAATATATTTCGATAGTTTCAGAGATATTAATAAATAAATAAAAAATACAAGAACTGTTCTGAAATCAAGACTATGTTAGGTGTTGACTCTAGATGGTCTGTACTTACTTTGCTCCAGGGGGGCTTGTCCTATGAGGCAGATGAGGCAGTGCCTCACCAATACATTTGAAGAGTTACACGTATTAATCGATACATCTTTAATCACAATTTTATATTTTTTTCCCTATTTGCATCAATAATAATTATATTTTTTATCCGTCATTCTACAATAAATTACGTCGATGGTATTCCTTTAAACGCGCTTCCTTTCCCATATGCGACAAACTCGACGATACATATATATCCATCTCATTTGTTCTTTAAGAAGTATATGTGCAGAGGTTTGTCTCTCGCCTTTCCTTGTCTAACGTATTGTGGTATATCGCATTGACGGAGCGACAGCGTTCACTGGAATCTTAAATCTATAGAATGAAACGAAAAAGCATAGGCAAAACCTTTAGTTGAAGAGAGATAAAATGTATGGAGTAGTAGCGCGTAAAAAGACCGTATTGAGGCGAGCCTCAAATGTAAATTTAAACCTTAAAAGCCGTTCGTTAAAAATATGTATCACTTCCCGATCAGCCCGAGAGATTTTAGGCGACAGGCTGAAAAGGCAGAATTGCATTATTTGGGAATTTGTATTAGTTTGAATCACAGTTTGAATTAACTCTGCCGGTTATTGCACTGTTTTGTCTCTAATTGATTAATATATACGTTTTTTAATGTGAATTGCATGTTTAATTACTCGTCTTACTGATTACAACGTATTAAGTATAAAAGTGGGCAGTGACTACTACCAAACCTAAAAAGTGGGCAGTGACTTGTTGATTGATATGATGATTTAGAGGACCATGCATGATCAGAGGACTTCCCCAGGTAAAGTTTTTCGAATTCGAATCATTTCTAGATAAATCGTGTACTCGTATAGTCAAAAAGTAAAGCAACCTGTTACAGAGATTTCATTTTGTTTTATTTTTATAGGATGGGTAGAAAAACAAAATTTTACCATACAGAGTAAAATATAATACAAAATATCCTGAGGTCGCTTTGATAAAAATTTACTGTTGCAATAGCCCTATGTAATAGGTACCGTATGATCCAAAAAAGTCCAGTTGGCTTGAAAATGACGATCGATGACATTTCCCATATAATTTTACATATACAATGACAGCGATCTTCATCTTATAGCCATCGCTGACGCCGTTTTTATTCGATCATACGGTATAATACTGCGAATTATATTACATAAGGCAACTGCTAAAAATTTAGAAATATTTTAAATACAAAAATGTGCGTTTTTTAAGTCTGTAGGTATCTAAAATACTAAAAATAATAAACAGTGTGTATTGCATTTAAAAAAATTGAGATATAGCATTATAATATTGCAATGTTGGCCGTGATACAGGGTGTCCGTTTCGGAGATACAGGGTGTGGAAGTTTCATTTTTATTTCGATTTTTTCCAAATAATTTCTGAAATAACGTCAATATTTGAATGAAAATTTTGATGTCAATATGAGAGGGCGCCACCTACATATGTTTTAACTGTTTTGAAGACCAATAACTTTTTGTCCGTACCTGTATAAAAGTACTGAGTGAAAAAACATACATTTCCGTGACCTTTTACGTAAAAAATGTCTCTTGGTAAAAATCGCTACGAGTAACCGTTCCCAAGATATTTAGAATGGAAATAGTCATACACATACAATTGACAAAAAATGAACACGTTGAGTAGACAGTTATTTGATTGAAATAATAAATCCGGGAAATTTTTATTTTTTTAAATTAATAATAATTTTTCTGCGAAGAAATGATGATTAAACAGTTTCTGTTTAGCTTTTGGCACAAAAAATTTTTAAATTTATCATTTCAGTCTAATAAGTATTTAGTCAACATGTTAAATTCATGCCAATGATGACAGGTATTGATAATTTCGATTCTAAATAGCTTGAGAACTCTCAAGCGATTTTTTCGTAGAGCTCGTAGCGATTTTTTCCAAGAGACCTTTTTTACGTAAAAAATGTCGTAAATGTATATTTTTTTACTCAGGAGTTTTATACAAGTACGGACTAGAAGTTATTACACTGCAAACTAGTTAAAAAATATAGTAGGTAGTTAAAAAATATAGTAGGTAGCGCCCTCTACAAGTAGAAGTCATATTGACATACAAAATCAAAATTCTCATATCAAAAAACTCCCAGAAACCAATTTTCATCCGAATATTTACGTTACTTCATAAATTATTTGGAAAAAATCGAAAGAAAAATGAAACTTCTACACCCTGTATCTCCGAAACTAATCATCTTAGGACATACATTTCTACGAACTTTTTTACTTATTTTTATCTGCAGAATATGCTGTCAAAGTAATACAGTTCGGACCACCCTGTAGATTTTTTATTTATATAATATTAATATCTCTGAAACTATCGAGATATATGTACTCATATCTTAGAATTATATAAAGTGATCTGAAAGGAAGCCAAAAATGCAATAATATACAGGATGTTCTGTGACGCTCCCCCGTTTTTGAGAGAAGCTCACGGACGCCGAGCTGCGTTGGTTCGGTTCCTCGGGCGCCACCCCCAACGTTGAGAGACCACTAGTGCCAATACGGGTAGCTTTTATACAGTGGAGATACCAGGGAGTGATGAGATGAAAAGAAAATAAAACACACAATTAACTATAACGTAACACTAGGTTTTTATTTAACTAATTAATTATGTACAAAAATAATCCAGGAAGGTTCACGTCCTCGAATCGTAACAATAAAATGTATATTTAAAGACCCGTAGAGTAAAATTTACAATAACAACCATGTACCTCTAGAGTTTTGATCGATTATTCCCGATATGTAACTCTCTGACTGATTCTATCCCGTGAATTCAAAACGCGTTCCCGCAATGACGTTCTATTAAATAAAACGATGCGAGTTCTTGATCGGCATCGAATTTAGCGGCGTCCTCATGAACACAGACATGTAAGTACCGGAGCAACACACTCTACTACGACGCGACTCTCTAAACGGCGGCGACGTCGTTACAGGCGTCCCGATGGTCACAGCTAAATATTTCTCGGAACGGCGTCCGTTTTGACAACGAAACACGGACCTCGGATCGGCGTCGAAGTTAAAAGCGTCCCGGGATACACAAACGCGAGTCCTGGATCGATCGCGAAATTAACAGCGTCCTGTGGGACACAAACGCGAGCCCTGGATCGATCGCGAAGTTAACAGCGTCCTGTGGGATACCCAAACGCGAGTCCTGGATCGATCGCGAAGTTAACAGCGTCATGTGGGATACGCAAACGCGAATCCTGGATCGATCGCGAAGTTAACAGCGTCCTGTTGGATACGCAAACGCGAGTCCTGGATCGATCGCGAAGTTAACAGCGTCCTGTGGGATACGCAAACGCGAGTCCTGGATCGATCGCGAAGTTAACAGCGTCCCGAGGGATACACAAACGCGAGCCCTGGATCGACGTAGACGTTAGCGACGCCTCGGCGAGTTGTACGTCGTTTGGATAAGCGCAGCCCGCACACACACCGCCCGGTCAGGACAACCTCGGGATTTCGGCGAGATCCCGTCTAGCGTCACTGATGCAAGGTGCCGTCCGGACGACACACCTAGAAAAATTCGGGAGCTACAAAACCAGCCTCGGGATTTGGGCGAAGTCTTGTTTTAGCTCCGTGAACATTCGCGACCCGTGCGTTTACTGAACTACCCTGACTGTCCCTTAAGAAGATGAATTAATTATTAGCGCGTAATTAGCTTTCCCCTGAAAAACTGAACCGGAGCAGATGTCAGACAACCTTTAAAAGAAAAAGACATAATTCCTGGCGACCTGCCCGTAGCACAGCGTAGTCCCTTTTTGCCTGCTCGACAATCCTGGCAATTTTAATATTAATGAAGAAAACTACGAACTCTCGTCTCATCAACCGAAGGATACGTCAGACCGGAGCTGATTTCAGACAACCTTTAAAAGAAAAGGACATAATTCCTGGCGACCTGCTCGTAGCACAACGTAGTCCCTCCTTGCCTGGTAGGCAATGGTTGTTCTCCCGCGCTCTTAATATCCTAACAATCCCGTCAATTAACTCCCTTATCCCTATAACGCGTCCAGGTAGTCGAGTAAACGTTTTATAACACTAAAAATAATACGACCTACCCTCGGTCACTTTGGCGGTGGGTGCTTACCTTATACAGTGCGACGACAGGCGGCTGGCAGCAGAACACTTGGCAGGGCACTCCGGACTCGAACCTCACTGTTTCGCGTGCGACCACAAACTAGTGATGGAGAACTATCGATGGCGCTATCGATAACTATCGATATTTTTCACTATCGAAAACAATCGATAGTATTTGGAGGCTATCGATATTTTGCGATAGTTCGTTTGGAACACATCTCTACTTAGATTGAGGTTATAATATAAATGGTTATTGTAAATTTAAACGTATTTGGTTATAAATATGTGTTGTTTGTTCATAAAGAAAGTTTAAAATGGATAAATTTTTAAACATAAAAAGGAAAAAAGAAGACAGTCCGAGCAGTCGTCGTAGCAGTAAGTAAAATTTATGAACAAAACATAATGCATTTTTAAAAGCATTAAATCCCCCCGAAGTTAATTGAATATGTTCAAGCTAGGCTGTTCCCATTTCCCATATGAAAAAAGAAAAGTAACTCAAATGGGCACTTTGATGGATCCTCGATTTAAAAAGGAAGGTTTCAGAAGCAATGAGAATGCAGAATGTGCAGCATAAATGGAGCAGGAAATGGTCCAGATTTTGAAAAAAGAGGAGGAAGCAGACCCCACAGAATCCAGATTTAGAGATGACAGGCCTGGCTACGAGCAGTACCTACAAGCACTACTACCACCAGCAGCAGTGGAAATCCATTATTTTCTTTTATTGAAGAAAGAATTTGCCGGAAAATTAAATCAATAACTGCAGATGCATTCATCATCAAACGTCAGTATTTGAGAAACAAATTGCAACTTAAAATGATGATCCTCTTCTGTTCTGGAAGGTAACTATTGATAAAAATATTTTTTTGTCGTAATATTAAAACGTTTTGTTCTTACTTTTTACAGGTAAATGGAAGGGATTTACACCCACTGGAAGAATGTAGAAAAAAATACCTGTGTATTCCAGCATCATCTGTGGAATCTGAGAGGACTTTCAGCACCACAGGCAATTTAATAACAGAGAGAAGATCAAGATTAAAGGCAAACAATGTTGATATATTAACATTTCTGAACAAGAATGAATGTATAGTCGGAAATGTAAATAATTAGTTAAATAAAAATATTGGTTTTGATTATTTTATAAATCCATTATTTTATTAAAAAAAAAACAAATAATTTTAATAGAGATGCTAATTTTCGATAAAAGTATCGAAAATACTTTTTTTTAATTAAAAACGGTAGGAAATTCGTACTGTCTTTAATTAAAAAAAACGTACGAAATTCGTATTGTTTGTTAAAAACGGTATGAAATTACCGTTTTCAATAAAACAGTACGGAATTCGTACTGCTTTTCATAGATAACTGATAGATAACTAACAAATTTATGTTAGTCAAAACTATCGAAAACAATCGATAGTTATCGATAGTCGAATGTGTGAATATCGATGACTATCAATGGCCGTGACTATCGATAGTTCTCCACCACTACCACAAACTGTCCAACTGGAGCTGCTGCAGCCGAGGTACTCGACTGACGCTCCCCTCCACTCAACCTGCACTAACAGAGTAGGGAGAGCGGCGCAAACGTTTCGGTTTTTCGCATTAAACTATAGCGACCAAAACCGATCAAAACTCTCTTACAAAATGGCAATTAAATATTTAACTTATTTAATTCAACAATAGGAACACTAATGAAGTTCATTACAATAATGATTTAACAATAAAATACATTGACTGTCATTATTAAAAGAAAATAAAGGCTCTATTATTCTAGTATAATATTAACATAATATACAGGGTGTCCTAGAAATTTTATGCACTTCATTACAGTTCCATTAAAAGAAATCATTCCAATCCACTCACATTTGTTTGAGCCACTCTATAGAAGTTAAAATATTTTCTTGAAATACATACTCGTACATACTCCAGATTTGCACTAAAACAAAATTCTCAAACTTTTTATTCTAGGAGGTACAGATGCCCGACGCACTATAGCCGGACCCTGTATAAATATTAAATTTTGCGTTTCTTAATTAAATAATGTAATTTATTGATTTTTTTTGTTCTAGGCATTATTTAAAATTGATTTTCTTAGCTACTTTAGTAATACCTATGTTGGTCAGTTGTTACTTGGGTGAAAGTGTATGGATTTCATTTGTCTTGGCTGTCAGCAAATATGTTTATACTCTACATGTAACGTGGAGTTTAAATAGCGTTGCTCATATGTTTGGATCAAAACCGTATAATAAGTAAGTAAATAATATGAATTAGCATAAGATCGAAAAAAAACTGCCGAGAGCTATTCTTAGTGGGACGCCCTGTACATATTTTATATCATTGTGTAGTGTGTGTTAATGTTTTGTCCATATAGAATATATAGAGAGACTACTCGTATTATGTGTAGTGATGATTGTACCCATACTATCGGGATAAGCTATTTGATTACATTATGATTATTGTTAGTTCCCAGTAGTTAGAATGCAGAAACAAAAATCGTGGGTTCAAATCCAAACATTTATGACGACAAACATTCAAAAAATCCAAACATTCATGGCGACTCCAACCGCCAATACCGACACATATCAGTGCCCTTATAGTGAGTTTATTTGACTCTTATGCACCAGTCAGGACAGCTCGCATAACGAAAAAAAAGGCACCTTGGATCACACAAAATATAAGATATTTGATGGAGACTCGAAACAGAGCATTAAGCAAATATAAAAAGAGAAAGACACTTCAGAACTGGGAGTATTATAGGCAGCTTCGAAATTTTACAAGTGCTACTATTCAAAGAGAAAAAAAGGCGTTTCTTGAGTATAATTTACGTAACCGCAGTGCAAAAGATAATTGGAAGCTTCTGAGAAACTTGGGTGTTTATTCCAATGATTCCAAACACATTCCTGATTCTGTGGGTAGTGCTGAGGATCTTGGCGAATTCTTTATCAGTTCCGTTAGACCTACCACTCCCGATCCTCATACTTTGAATTTCTACTTACATAACAGGAAGAAAACAAATGCGTCATTTGAGTTCAGGATCGCTACGGTTGACGAGGTACGCTCAGCTTTTTTATCGATAGAATCCGAAGCAGTGGGTACCGATGGTATTGGATTGACCATGCTCCTTTATTGTTATCCAGTTATTCTTCCGTACATTGCGCATATTATCAATTCATGCATTGAAACTTCCACATTCCCTTTGGGCTGGAAGTATTCATTTCTACTTCCTGTGCCTAAAGTATCCAGTATCACCAGTATGAGTGATCTAAGACCAATAAGTATCCTTCCAACCCTCTCTAAGATATTTGAGAGGGTTCTTGAATCCCAGCTGAGAGAATACATAAATAAACATAGTCTCTTGCCTCCGATTCAGTCGGGATTTCGGAAAAACCACAGTTGTACAACAGCATTACTCAAGGTAACGGATGATATTCTGGAGGCTGCTGATCGGGGTGACCTCACTGGTTTGGTTCTCTTGGATTACTCGAGGGCTTTTGATAAGTTGAATCATCAACTCTTATTAGCAATATTAAAGTTTCTTGGGCTTGAGTGTCGCGCATTGAAACTTGTCGAGAGTTATCTCTCAGATAGGACACAATCTGTAAGATTAAATGGCACGCTGTCTAGTGTTCGACATATTAATTGTGGTGTCCCACAAGGATCAATTCTGGGTCCATTATTCTTTATCCTCTACACATCACAGCTCGATTCGGGTTTGAGAGATTCAACGTCGCTTCGCTTATATGCAGACGACACGCAAGTGTATATGTCTTTCCAACCAGGAAAAATATTGGAAGCCAATGCCATCCTCTCTAGTGAACTTAGTATACTTCTAAAGACATCATCTAATCATTGTTTAGACATTAATCCCAATAAATGTTACGGTCTTTTATTTGGTAGAATACAGGCTAGAGACCAATATGAAAAATTGTTTTCTGTGTCTTTGGACGGAAAGAGGTTGAATAGCTGTAAATCTGCAAGGAACCTTGGTGTGATTATGGATACTCACTTAAGGTTTACTGAACATATTAACAAATGTATAAAAAAGGCCTTCATAAATTTAAAACTGATCTACAATCAACGTTACATCTTAAATCCTAATCTCAAAAAGAAATTATGTGACACCTTAGTTCTTTCACAATTTACCTATTGTGACTCACTATATGGACCGTGTATTTTAGATCATGATGCTAAACGCATTCAACGACTACAGAACTGTTGTATCCGTTTGATAGGCAGTATAAAAAAATATGATACAGGTATCACAAATAAAATGGCGGAAATTGGTTGGCTCAACATGGCTGGGAGAAGAAAATTTCATTCATACTTACTAATTTATAAGATAATCAATAATAAAAGTCCATGTTATTTGTTTGATAAAATTAAATTTAGGTATGATGAACATTCACTGGACTTGCGTCACAAGTTTAATATCGCTCCCCCTATACATCGCACAACTCTGTATGAGAGATATTCAGTTATCAGGCATGTATTCTTTATAATAGAATTTCTGTAAATCTTAAAATTAACTCTTATTTGAAATTTAAAAGTTCTATACGACAGTTAATATTTAATTCTTCAATTTAAATGTTTAGATCTTATAATCTCCCGTCATGCCTCCATTTTAGTTTGTTTTGATTTATTTATTTATCTACTTAATGTACTTACTTGTTAATTACTTTCTGTATAATTATCTATAATACGGGATTAATTATTGGTTGCCTTTTTTTTACTCATAGAATTATTCTCTTTGTGTATCTATCATATATAAATACTTATCAATTATTTCATGTTTCATGTATAAATATTTAATTAATTGATTTTCGGTATATTCTAACTATGTTATTCTACCCTTTAGTTTTCTATTATAATTATTATTGATTTATTATAATATTTTTATATAATATATATTAATTATGTCTACTAATTAGGGTTAAGTTAGGAAGCTAAGCTTCAACTTCGCCTTTTGTGATTTTTTTAAATTTCGCAATAAAGTCTTTATTATTATTATTATATAGACGAATCCAACAGAAACTTAAAAAAAATACCCGTTAAGTTTCTGTTCGATTCGTTTGTATGTGTCGGTGTTGGCGGTTGGAGTCGCCATGAATGTTTGTAGGCATAAAGCTCCGCGCGCACTGAATAGGTATCGGCGAGAGCGAGAGGCGCGAGCGGCACGACCGGTCGGAAAGTCGGTTGTAGCCGCGCACTGGAGTCGCACGATCGACGGTCGAGAGTACGTCACCAGCATAATTTTGACCATAGACGAGGAGAAGTTTATTCAAATTTAGTCAAATTTATTCGGCATTTCAAAAAATTATAAAGTATTATTACTATTTATATTTTTATGCAACTTTTTATATTTTATGGTTTATGATGGAAATTGATATTATTTAGATCTTAACCAAACACACATTAATATATTTAGATTTTAACAAACCACATAAAATTAGTGAAATAGAGTGGAAGATGGGGATAGAATATACTACATGACTCTTAGCTTGACCGATTTTAACAAATTTGGTATAACTCAAAAGGGTTTAATTTGTTCTTTAAAAACAAAGCTAGATATGAAAAATAGTTAAATAAAACTTCTATTTTTAGTTTTTTAATCTAAATAAGTGTCATTACAAACATTTATATATAGCTTTTATTTTAAGTTTTTAAAATCTTTGTTTTAAGTCAGTAGTAAATAAAACGAAACTTGTGTTTACATTTTGTTTAATGATTGACGTTTCGACCAATTTTAATTCGATCTTCTTCAGAATCTATAATATACGTATAAATAATTTTCTGCGTTTGTGGTAAGAAAAAATTATAAATTAAACACATTGTTAGTGATAAAATTGTATTGTATATTATAAATTCTAAAGAAGACCGAATTAAAATTAGTCGAAACGTCCCTGTGGAACAGGCATATTAAGAACACTACCAGCAAAGCCATAAAGGCTCTCATGATATGCAGAAGACTGGCCGGAAATAGATGGGGCTGCTCCCCTAACATTTTGCGCTGGATGTATACCATGATAGTAAGACCCATGATTACTTATGGAGAATTGTACACAAAACTAGAGCAACGGACGGCAAGGCTAAACCTATGCAAAGTCCAGAGACTAGCATGTGTGTGCATCACAGGAGCCATGAGAACCTGTCCAACAGCAGCAATGGAGGTCATTCTAGATCTAACACCACTGCACATTGTCATTGGTAGATATGCCAATGCGACAATGATTAGAATGGTCACTAACGGAATTAGTACTGGGAGAATTGTCAGATCAGGGGCTTGGAACACCCTCAAAAGGAAATACCACTTCTGCAACTCCCAATGGACGATATGCCAAGAACGTACAACTTTGACAAACATGTCAATGTAGTATTGAGCAATAAGAAGGATTGGAAGAGCGAAACGCTTGCCCAGCAGTTAAAAGACCATACCATAACTTGGTATACTGATGCTTCCAAAACCAATACGGGAACAGGGATCGGAGTGTTTGGGCCGAGAGCTAATTACTCCGAACCAATGGGCACTTACCCTAGTATCCTACAGGCAGAAATCTACGCTATCGAGAGATGCGTACAACTTATCTTAGATAGGAACTATCGGAAACAAGAAATAGCCATCTTATCTGATAGTCAAGCAGCATTAAAGGCGATCAACTCAGTATCAATCAATTCGAAATTGGTCAAAGAATGCATAGAGAAGCTGAATAAATTAGCCAAAGAAAACAAAGTCCTCCTACACTGGGTGCCTGCTCACCAAGGGATAGAAGGCAATGAAAAAGCAAATAATCTAGCTAGGAAAGGAGCGAACACTCCACTAACTGGACCAGAACCGTTCTGCTTTCCAAGTGGTAACCAACTCAAGGCGGAACTCAAGAACTTGGAAGATTCCATCCGTAACTTGGAATGGAAATCTTGCAATGGTCTAGGACACTCGAAGAAGTTTCTGAGGGCTTATGATCAAGAAAAATCACAGATCTTCCTGGGTCTGAGTAAGAACAATCTTCGGATTGTCACGGGGTTTTTAACAGGACACTGTCTCCTCAATGAACACCTCAGTAGATTGAAACTAAGAAGAAACGGCGAATGCAGATTCTGTGGGGAAGATGGTGAAACACCAGTACACCTCATCACTGAGTGCGCCGAGACGACAACCATTCGTGCCATGAATTTTGGTACGACTGATATTGGAGATGGAGAACTACCCTCTATAAAACCGTCCCAGATGCTGGCTTTTGTCAAAGCCCTGGGA